GAAAAAAGAGATGGGGTGGGATGTCAGAACACAGGAAAAGCCCATTTCATCCGTGCGCGTCCTATTTCGATAGATTTCCAGCACGTCGCCCAGTAGTAGATCTGGTCAAAATTTTACCTAACAAGCTCCAGAGTGATCCAATCGGGACTGGTAAGAAATCAAAGATTTTCTAGAGTCGACCTGAACCTGGCGTAAGAAGCATGCCGAAGTATTATGAAACCGCTCGGCTCCGTAGTTTTTCAGCGTCTTTTCGTTCTATTTTTGACTGTTTCGGCGGCCGAAACGATGGACTCGATATTATGTTATGAGCAAAGGAGGCAGGTCTACATTACATAGCTTTATTCGAGATTTTTTGTTTCAAGATTTTCAATTCGAGATATTGATACAGACGAATATTCATGATTACCTGTCTCTTTCCTTTATTTCACTTGCGAGATAATTCTTTTCCTACTCATTTGATAGAGAAACGTCACAAGAGTTCGTAAACTAACAGTGCCAGTATTGTCTCTATAAGAGAAAGCTGTCTGACACTCTTCTGTTTAACCTGATTTCAAAAAATTTCTGCTTTTTCTCCGAATTTTTAGGAAAACTTCTGATTCTCTCCTGATTCTTCGAAAACAGCTTTCTGATTTTTCTCCTGATTTTCTAGAAAAAATCTACTGATCAACTCCTGGATATAAAAAAAAACTCCTGATTTTTAAAATTTGGATTTGACAACCCTGCTCCTCAGGGCTAATGAGTTTGTTCTCTATGACGCTATCTAACATCTGGCTGAACACACTCTTGGTGAAAGAGTTTTCGCTTACTAAATACAAGTTCAGAATGAGATCTATAAAATTTCTTCAAATATCTGACCCTCCCCAAGCCTTCCCTTTCTGTTGTTAGGTAGGCTTAAGTCTTCCCAAGCCTAAGGGCTTCGCCGCCACTGCTGTCATTTCAATTAATCATAATCCTATCCTTGTAATGCTGTTTAGAGTGAAAAAGAAATTGGTATGGGCATTCGGAGCCAATCGATTTTCTTTATTATCGTCTTATTACCGCAAAGGCTTTCTTCCTCCCTACATACTAGAGTGATATTTCTATCATATAGATGACGTTGTTGGTTGAATGAAAAAATTGATAATCAGATAGATTTTAGTTTTGTTATTCATATATTGATCTGAAAGTAGCAGTCTACTAGTATTTAATTCAGATAAATCTGGAGATAGTAAAAAGTATTATGTAGTATTATTTTAAACTTGATTCATCTTAATTTAGCCATATAATATTATCTTTTTTTAAACACCACAAATAATGCTTCAGTATAGAATGATTTATTTAAAAGTGGAAACAATTTGTACTTATTGAGACTTCTGCTGAATCAAACATTCTAGGCATTTATTGATGAACTAATTTTTGTTATAATGCAATCTGTCCATATCATAAGATCCATAAAGTGGTTAGAATTGTTTGCAAAACTTCAGAATTTTCCAGAACCATCGTGTAAATGCTAGTAGTTAGCGCTATTGGATGTACAAGCAAATTTATTTTGACTTCGTTAAAAAGAAATGTTTCGTATATTACATGCGAAGTATTTCAAACAGAAAAAACAATATATCATTGTTTTTCTACGAAAAAAAAGCCAATCGACAATGATAGTTGAATGCAATATCATAAAAAAAATGCTCTTCTAAGTAATGTAAAGGAACATTTATATTCTGTCCTTCTTTATTAGCCAATACGTTGCCGGTAAAATTCTCTTGTAACGTTGTTCAGGACTGTGCGTGATCAGACCATAGGGCTTCTTCCAAACCCCTGAGTAAAAAAGAGGATTTCAACTTAAGTTTTGATAAACATTTTGAGTTGAAGGCTGATGTCGATGGAATAAAACGGAATAGAAGATGATGAACTTTGCATTTCATATCTACAGTTGCTCGTCGGATCCTATTAGAAAAGAATCGGAACCCGATCGTTAGAGAGTTTGTTGGTTCCGACACGTGGATATCATCGGATATTCAGCGGAATCCGACGATCGGAAAGTCTGTTGGTTCTGACAGTTGGATACCATCGGATATTCAGTGGAATCCGACATTCGGATCCGGTATGGACTCCTCAACCCGGAAATCCGATGAAATCCGATCGGTTCGTAGGATCCTATGGGATCCGATAGGATTCGGCATCGAATTGGAGGACCTGGGTTGACGATCAGTTATAGTCATTTCTGTTCTATTGATATGGACATAATGTTCGATTTTTTCATGAATAAATCGCCATGAACGAAAGAAAGAAAGATCTTGTGGTTGAATATAGCCGGTTGATCCTTCAGGAAAAATCAACAATTGACTGTCTTGATTAGGAAATACTGCTCTAAATTTTGTTAGATCAGCTTGAGTTTTCCAAGAATCAAGGAAGAGAAGAAATTTTTTACCAACCAAAGGGCATAGAACTTCATTTAAAAAAAACGTGATGTTTTACACCACTGCTTTTTCCAGATTTTGAAGCGCTGATTACAACATTTGGTGGTACAATTAAGTATTTTTGCACCCTTTCACCAAATTGATTTTCTTTTTCTTGAAGGATCAGTAAGAACTTGTCCAATAAATGTCCATTAGCTGATGTGATTGGTTGAACTGTATAAGAATGTGTTGTATTATATTTCTTTTTAACGGCAACTTCTGTTGTTCTTTCACCAGTAAAAGAAAGGGTTCTTGAAGGTACATATTCTTGTTGAAATGAACAATGATCGCTGTTCAAGATTTCGTTGGTAGAATAATTTAATATTAAAGGTCTTTTACTTTCGATCCAATTATGAGCATCTAAAAAATATATGCATATTCCATTAAGATACATGTACTTATAGATCCAATAAAAGTTTACATAACATTTAAACTACAATGTTTTTTGTTTGGTTTCGTTCGAGTAATTATTTTGTTACATCTTCTTGATGATATTCTATTTTCCTTTTTAAAAGTATCGATGAATGCTTTGCTTGCCTTGAATGTATCCCAATCTAATTCTCTTGCTTTTTGAATTGCATAAAGCTCCAGATCAGCATCATGAACGGCCTCTTTTTCAATTGTTCTTTTCACATAAAATTCCTTAAACATAAATTCTTTAACTTGCTTTTTTTTCTAATCTTGTACCGTTGTTTTCGACATATTTTCTAAATCTTGGAATATAATTCATGGATTTGATTTTTTTTTAAATCGATGGGAAATAGTAGAGAATCTAGCATTCGGATGTTGGTCAACCCATTCGATTATATTTTCCATTTCTTCTAATGTAAATCAATTTCTTATCTAAGAATGTTCTTTCTCATTGTAATCGTCAAGTTCATTATCATTTTCTTCATCATCAGCCATTTCATCATCATTTTCGTCTTCATCAGCTGTTTCATCAAATTCATCTTCAAATTCGAGAGTATCATAAGAATACATCTCATTGAAGTAGCTGTCTTTAAATGACTTCAGCACTTCGAACAATCGTTCTGCAGCAGCAACTTCATCGGCAGTTGTTGCAGAATTTCCTGATGTATATTCAGTTTCAGCCAAATAAAGAAGGTGTTTAGCGATGTTCAATAAGTTCATGTTTTAATTTGAAAAATAAACTTTTTAATTCGATAGAGTGAGCAGAGAATAAAAGAGAGTAAGTCTTTGATAGTATATTTCTTTATGATTTTTAAAACCAATTACAAATAAATGGTTATTAGACCACCAAATGATGCATCAATGCACTTTACGTTCGACTATTACACGCATTAGTCACTTTCCAGACAATCAAATCTTTTTTCATTTCGATATAACTTAAGTTCGAAAAGACATCAAAACTAATGTGATCGTAATGCTATTGATAAATTTCGGAAAGATCCTTAAATTCTACCAGTGAAATATTTATATTGATTGTATAAAAAATTAAGGCAAATTATCGTAATGTTTCTAAATACCCAAATCCCGAGTACATTAAAAATTGAGTATCTCCCTCTAGACAAGCCAAGGACCGCTGATATTTTAACCTTGTTAGTTTGGCGATGAGAGCTTTCTTTTGATGTAAAAATATCTAATCTTTTCAACTTACAATACCCATACCTCCACTGTAAGAAAATCTCAAGACCCCGCATCCTAAAATCGATCTCAGCCCAGGAATGTCCAAATGACATGAAATTTTCAGGATATGTTGAGGGTGTTGTGGAATATCTATGGTAAAATTTTCAGCTCGATATCATGATGTTTACCGAAAATACTAGCCAAACAAGGCTGAAAAATAGCACATTTAGTTTCCCAAAATTCTCGGTCCAGGTCTATATCATGAATTTAAATTTTCTTTGTTTGAAGGAGCATGTCATGGTGCAGAGAATGACAGAGGTCTTTTTTTGAATATTTACTTTTTTAAGAAAAAAAAGGGAATGAAAGTTCAATTACTCAAAAAACCCTGAAAAATGGGCGTCGAGTGATATAAATGTTTGTATATATAACTAAAAACGCTTAATTAAAAAAAAAGGACACTGTCAGTCTCTGCGCCTTTACACGCTCTTTCAAAGAAAAAAGAGGTAAATACATTGAATGAATATTAACCGAGAAATTTGGGAAACGAACTCCAGAAGCTATAGATGGAGAAAAAACGAAAAAGAATTTGTTTTTTTCTGAAAATAGCTTATTTTTTTTCGAATAGGGATCATCAAAATCTTCAAATTGTTTTCGGAAAAAAAGAGATATTGAAGAAAAATTTTTGTCGTCTATGAAAGATCTAAACACGGGCTATCTTCTTCTTCACTTATCTGAATTTTGATCATTCTGACAAAAATTCACTTCTTTTGGGTTGGGGAGAGGAGGGGAGACCTTAAAGAAGATATATTAAAATCTAAACAATTAAAACTGTCATCACCCATAAACAACAATTATTTTCTTCGAGAAAATTGTCAAGATTTTTCTGAAACTGACTTACTATCAACAGTTCCTCAAGTAAAGGAGAAAAGGTAAATTTCTGGAATTGCCAATTCATGAAGAATCCCAAAAAGATTTAGAAAAATCCAAGGAAATCCCCAAAATCTACAAGCAATGCCCTCTTATAAATGGAAGAATTTCGAGCTAAAATTTCCACATATGTAGAGTTTTTGATCCTTAAAATATTCTAAAAGTTTCAATGCAAACGGATGTTTCCTTCTCAAGATAATCAACGTCCAATAAAAGTGGATTTTCAGACCAAGATGTGAAATATGAGTATTTCTTGCGATCGCATTATCTCCAGAAGATAAAATTCGTTGGCGCTGAAACTTCTAGAATATTTTTAGAACTACGAAGCCTACATATGAACAAAATTTCAGCTCAAAATTTCTGTATTTGCAACAGGATATTGGTGTCGGATTTTGGGATTATCAAAATCCAAAAAATCCCAAAAAAATCCCAAAAATCCCAAAAAATCCCCAAAATCCCCAAAATCCCAAATCCGCCATTTCCCCCTTGGGTATCCCCCTTTGATAGGCCTTGAGAGCCCAAGGGTACCCCTCTACATGTATAGTAGGCGTTGAGTACCCAAGGTATCCCCCTGTAGTAGGCCTTGAGGACCCAAGGGTACTCCCCCTATAGTAGGTCTTGAAGACCCAAGGGTACCCCCCCCCCGTATAGTAGGCCTTGAGGACCCAAGGGTACCCCCTATAGTAAGCCTCGGGGCCCCTCCAGGTGAGTACTAATTAACGTTAGCACTCATTAGCGTGAGTACTAATTAACTGTCTAATTTACGGTTACATTTGCTGATAGTCTATGACTGGACTGGATGAGATGGTTTGGACTGTTAGATGTCGTGTATATGGAATGGACTGGTATGAGTGAGTAAAATATGAATGCGTAAGTGAGCTCCAAATTTGAAGTTTACGTGTGGCGCTCACTTTTTTTGACCCATTTTCGATAGTCTTTCTTCGCTGACATTGTCAATTACAAATATTTTCGCTGCTGTTAAAATAAATAGTTTTATATTTCAATATTAAGTCGTTCATTTACTTACAACTCTTCTCCGATACCAGTGACTTTTCTTTTCTGCTGAGACTACATAAGAGAATGAATTCTCTCTATGCTATCTATTTCTTTTGTAGTTCACTTGTGTGTCCATGAACGGTTGATAACTATGGAAAAATGAAGAAGTTCATAAATATCATTTGTAATAAATTGAGAGCATGTAACGCGATCCATAGAATTTTTCCTCTTTAACATTCACGATGAAATCGACGGTGTGTAAAGTGTCCGGGTACTCGAATATTCTCTGCAGCGACACCATAAATGTGTGGGCGTGTGACTGTTTCTTCTTTTTCAACCCCCACTGATACTCACACCCATCCATACTGATTCGGCATACGTCTGGTTTTCACAGTGAAAATCTGCAATCTGTATGTGAGACATACCGAACAAGAAACCCAGCCTAACCTAGGCCAACGTTCACTCAAAATCAAACGCACAACCAACCAAACGAAGTAAAGAATTCAGTTTGAGTTCGACAGCATATATGTGTGGGTATGGCTGTGAAATATAATTTTATGTAATCCACATTTACCACCCGCACATCCAGCTCACCCACACCCATCCGTACCCACTCACACCCATCCACAATCACACTCACACCCACACCCACATCCACCCACACCCACCCCCACTCACACCCACTCTTGCTCAGACCCACACCCACATCCACACTCTTTTCCACTTTACTGCATATCTTTTTACCCTTACTTTGCTCACGTACTTTCGAAACTTTCTCTTCCTGTGATATTGTTCAAAAAGATTTTTTTCTCTCGTTTCGTTTCTGTCCAAGAGATCTTGGTGTTTTTTCTAGCTTTTTGACTCATAGATACCGCGATCCTTCGGAGACTAAAGTCAGAAGTTTCATATTGACCTGATCGATTAATAACCAGGTAACACAATACTTGATTTTCATCTAAGTTGATACCTAACATCGTAGAATTTCGGCATTTCGTTTACATAAGTTACTTGTCAGAAGTATACTATTGCTGTTCTCATGAAGTTATTAATTGGATTATCGATTCTTGTTTGGTGTGAAGTTATGGTGAAAGCAGACTGTGATAGAAATAACGGTCCCAGTGGAGGAATCGACTGTATTGCTATCGATCGCTATCAGGGAAAGCAATGGAGCACCTGTTTAACTAATGCTTACATTAAGCAGAAATCAAAAGGAGACCACGCCTGTGAAGATAGAACAGCAACGTTTTGCTATTATCAGTGTATGCTAGAAACGTGCAATATAAATAGTGGCCCAGTATCGAGCACATGCTCTTGTGATACTACACAAACTTCTACACCAAGTGGACCCACTTTACCAACTGAGTGCTTAAGCCCCGATGGAAGCAGTTGTTCGTGGTATCAGAACTGCTTTGAACTGAAATATCCATGTCAAGGTACTTCAGCTGAATATACTACATCATACGCTACAAAATTCTGCGAGCTATATGACAAAAATAAACCATTGTTTAGTTCTTTGGGGCAAAGCTGGATTGACGCGGTTCGAAGATGTCTACAAGTTGCTCTCGTTCCTTTCCTTCGTCCTTTTTTCTTGTCAAACCAATGTCAAGTCAATACAACACACAAACCAGCAACATGTCAGGATATTTCTGATTCCGCATTCGCATCGCACGTTCCCTGTTATTTGAGCCCATATGCTGGTGCACCGTCTATATGTCAGGTTCCAATAGAAGATTGGTGGCGTGCGTTTTTGACGATAAAATCAGCATTTTTTTCTAAGGCGCTGCTGGAAACGTTGCTTGGCGCATTGCAAACTTTTGGATCGTGTAAAATCGATGCAACGTTAGAAGACGTTTCCCAATTGGTACAACAAGTTCAACTAACATTCCATATAATCGAAAATACCTATAACCAAATTGTAGAAGTGATCGACATAGCCTTCGATATAGCTGACAAGCTTGCTGAATTTCTGAATTGGACTACACCTAGACTCCAGTGGTACCCATTTGTTCTGTCGCCTAAAGTTAAACGATTAGAAAATGAACAACAGCAAATAACCATTCAGCTTTTGGTTGGAGACATGAATGCTGTGTATAACACGAGTTCGAACCTGAGTGCGACTAACCAGTATTTAACAGAAGCAATCAGCAACTTGCGTCGTGCACTGGTGCAAGGAAAACTCGAATTGAGAACAGATCATGGCAAATTCTATGCGATCAACATGACGAACTGCTTCGACATGAACTGCCGGGTGTCAAATGATAGTGCAACGGCTCCCCCTTACACTCCCAGTAACGTCGGCTGTAGTCTGAGCCTTCGAGGAACCTACTTTCTCCTCATATCCTTTATTTTTCTTTTTCAGTTTTCTTCTGTGTAAACGTTATGACTCTTCATCAAGTGCCCTCGAACACAATTTATCATCGCAGTGTGACTTCGCCCACACGATCAAATTACCGTTCCTTTTTAAGCTGATTTGTCATCGAAATTTCATCTACATAAACCAAATATCCATGAGACGGTTCAGAACGCTCGAATGTTCTGTAGAGTATGGAAGTGTGTAGAAATTTTCCGAAGAGGTGGGGACGCTACAGGGTGTGGGTGTGGGTGTGGGTGTAGATGTGGGTGTGGGTGTGTGTGAAGTTGTATGTGAAGATGTGTTTGAGTCTTCATGTTCTCTAAATAACTTACATCCACCTTCACACACCCACACCCACACCCACAAAGCCTAAGACTAAGAAAAGTAGTACAAAGAAAATAAAGTACAACAAAAACAAAATATCTCGGATCATTTCTCAAAGAACACACGAAGTCTGCCTATTTTAAAACACGCATGTACAATGATATAAGGAAATGAAAAAACTGCGATATACTACATAGATACGACACAGAAGTATTGAGTTAGCATTGCACTACTGCGATTCATATGAAACATAACAACCATCCAATAAAACTTGTTTCTATGATCTCTTCAATTACATATCGATACGTACTCAATAGTGATCAATTCAATGATCCCTAGAATTTACCACAAGCCATCAGTTCTTATATTGTTTTTTCGATTATAAAACTTCAAACTATTCAAATAAATACATTCTCGATATATTCACGAAATAATTCATTAATAACCTCCTCATGAAATTTTTCAATGGAGAATATACCAAAAGCTGCGCAATGAGCAGGGCTATAACATATCAAAAATTCAGCCTGAGATCTCTTACTTTGATAGGACATTCACTCATGACACTGAAATCTGATGTTGGAATTGTACACTTGTTTTTTTCAAACTCGATTTTTTTCTCAAAAAAAAATTATATTCAAAAGATAATAGAAATAGACTATCTGGTAGAGAATTTCATTCTCTATCATTTGAGACATTCCGCACATCAAACTGTCAAGCGATGGAGGGAGAATTCGCAAAATACGACCCGGATTTAAAAAATCGATTTTTATGATATGATCCGAGAAGTCTAGAAAATGGAGTCCCTGCTATTTTCTTATAGACAAATCAAAACGAGTTGATATTTTGGTTTTCATAGTAACTTTTTATGGGCTTTCGAATGAGATGATCAAAATCTAAATCTAAAATTTTTCGGCAGCCACGATGATCGATATTCTGGCGGACCCTCTCTTAAATACTCAAATAGATATTTAGTATAAGACCTATTTGTTTTTACACCTTCTGTCAAATTTTCTAGTTCAAGATTAACATGCAAAATCAAGGTCTAGATTCTGATTTGTACTAGCCAATTAAGATATTTGTCGCCTTTAGTTGTGTTTTCGTAGTAGAGAAAAACTTGACTTTTCATTGCTACGTCATTATTATATTATGGATGATCTATGACAATCGGTCTCAGTGCAAGAAATGTTACCGATCACAACAGAGGTAACCATATACCAAGCCTTGTTAGAAATTGGCCTTAAAAAAGGACTAGAAAACATACCATTTGTAAACTCTTCAATAAATGTGCATGATGCTCAAGTGTAACTTACACTGAAAACTACTGTCCATTTTTTAGAAAGATTTCTGTAGAACGTAGGCTATATCTTTACCATTAATTTTAAGAATCATTTGAAATAAAATATAAAAGTTGGATTTTGCTCTTCGAAACAAAATTCAATAAATTCAATCGAGATGAAAATTTATTTTAAAAAGTTTTTGGCAAGTTTAATATAAAAACAAAACAATAGCATTAGTTTATTGTATTTCACGATTACCTGTTAAAAAATCATTCACTTTGTGATCTTTTAATTGTGGTCTCGCTTCATACGTTGTAATGACTACTTTAGATTTGCCTTCTATACACGAAAAAATCATATAGAATCATATTAAAGAAGAAAAAAAACCATTCACTTACACCGAGATATTCACCACGAAGACCAACATAATAAATTTGAGTTGTTTGATGTGATGGACCATTTTCACCAATAATGCATAGACCAGTTATTTTTACAGCACCATTAAATGGTATACTGAAAAGTAATTCTTGTTCATCATCACTTTCAACTACTTTTCAAAAAAAAAAGAAGTCTATTCATAGTATTTTATTTGAATAAATCAAATATACTTTTGATCGATCAAGTCGTTCTTCCCATGCTCGAAATACATCTTTACCTGAATCATCATGCTTTTCATTATAACATTGTAAATTATCTTTATCAATTTTTGTATATAAATTCCATCGACCAACACTTGTTTCATCGACATGTTGGCATGTATGTAAACATGAATGTTGCATAATTTGTCTGAATAGAATAAAGAAAAATAATTTCGTTTTTTTTTTTGTTGTTGTATTTTCTATGGAACGATTTATTTTATATCATCAAGAAAAAATGAAATTACATAATGCACAGATAAACAAAACAACATTATTCTATGTACTTCCTTTATGTTTTTTTTGATGAAGTAACATACTACTTTAGTCATTGGATCATAAACAGTTAATAATTCAGCATTCGTATAAATATCTTGAACATTATCTAATAGTTCTTGAGATACAAAAGTATGTTTTAAAAATGGTGTTTGAACTTTATCAGCTATTGGTTCTGATTGTGTTTCATTTAAAGGTTCACTAGTTTGTTCATCTTTAGCAGTATGAACTTTTACACAAAATCTTTCTAATAAATCAAGTGTCTAGAATTTAAATTCGAATATTTTATTCAGTAAAAAAGGAACAATAACTGATAAACAAACTTGACATTCTCTTGAATTTGAATGACTACTATGAGTTTTTTTTTATTGTTTCGTCTTGTACCTGCCATTAATTCATCCATTAATGGAGTAGTACTTCAAGAAACTGGTTGAATAGATGAGGGTGCAGCTAAATTTGAAATAAACTCATAAAATATGATTGTCAGTTAAAAATAGGATGAATATCCTTATACATCCTTGAGATATGAAATAGTTCTTGGTAAGATCAAAAAAAAATCCAATACTTTTGAATGGATTTATCCGCTCAAGCTGGAATTCTTAGGATATACTAAAATATCATTAAACAATATTTACGTTGTTTCTTCTTGGACGACATTTTCTGATGACCTTTTTGATTGTTTTAATTCCTTTTTTTAGTCTTTCAATTTCAAGTTTAACATTTTCATTTCTATGCAAAAAAAAAATTACTAAATCAATCAAAACATTTTTGTTGTGTTTTATAACTACGATTTTGTTGATGAATTATCTTTTTGATCATCATCATCATCGTCAACATCAAGTTGAAGTGTTTTTTCTTTTATTTTAGAATTTTGTTTTTCTGTAGGTAATTCTTCATCATTTTCTTCATTATTTTCATTTAATGTAGCTGTATTTTTACTTTATGTTGAATCATTAGTTAAATCATGTGCACTTTTTCCTGTTCCTTTTTGTTTGAATGTCAATAAAAATAGTAAATTAAAAAAAAAACGAAAAAGACAAATGAAATGTATCTATACCATTGAAATTTTTGTTATTTCTTCTTCAGCTTCATTTCCCCAGTGAAAGAAGACCATAATTTCTAATTATAAAAAAAAACAACAGAGACTTACAAATTTTTGTTTTTATTTCATAGAAAGGTTCTACTTGATTGCTTTAGCCTGTACAGTTTATTTCGATTTTTTATTTGTTTCATCATCAATCATTTGTGGTTTAGTTCGAGGTCGAGGTACCATATTATCAAATGGATTTGATATAATCTATATACATATTAAATATAATCTTTTAAAACGATAAATTTCTAACATCGGCTTTAATTATTTCATGTTTATGTTCTGGTGTTTCACCGACAATTTCTCCTTGGTCTAATTTCAACATATTAAATAAAGTATTACCAACAACTTTACCAAATAATGTATTCTTTTTATCAAGTTCTGGAGTACTACCCAAAGTAAAAAAGAATTGACTAGCATTAGTATTTGGTTCTTGATTAACCATACTAACAAGACCTGACGATTAAAACGTAAACGTGTATGAAATTCATCCTAAAATTTTTCTTTTATAGAAAAAGAAAATAAAATTTAATTTTATTATGATTTACTGCAAAGAATTCACCAGTTGCTAATTCACTTCCTTCACCTGTTCCAGTTGGATCATCACCTTGTACAATAAAATTTGGTACAACTCGATGACAAAACTGTACCATCACAATAATCATTCATACATAATTGAACAAAATTTCAACATGCTAATGGACATTCTTTAGAGAAAAGTTCTTAAAAAATAAAAATAAAAATCAACTTACTATTTGACATTTATTACATAGAGCACTACAAAAGTTTTTCTCGTTCGGCTTTGTCTTAAATGTTGTGTATTGAGATCAATGGTTGAATTTCTAAAATGTCTTATTCTTATATTTCATTCCAATTAGTTACATAGGTAAACATGTTAGGATCGAGATTGGATATTTCGCAATAAATTCAATGTTCTAGTTATTAAACTACAGAATAAGAAGATTGAAGAGATTTGGTGTACAAAATCATATAAAATTATATGGTGATTTGATCAAAAAAAACTTTTGTAGTGCCGTCTGTAAAAAAAAAAAAAAATTCGTAGAATTTCAATATCGCCAACAGTTGTTTCTAAAATAACTTTTCCACGAGTAGCTGGCTCTTGAATGTAAATATTACTCATCTAAAACATCATCAATAAGTAGATATAAATAGTAATTAAATACATATATAGATAGAAAGAGATTCTTTTTTTTAACAAATTTAATTTCTAGAGATGTATTAAATTAATACCATGTATGAAATTCTATTGAAATTCATTTGGATTATTCGATTGCCAACGCCATAAGTCTTCGCCTACAAAAGAAAAATACAATTTTAAATTTCCACTTAAAAATAAAATTCTACGTACACATTTCATCTAAATTTCTTTGAGCTGTCCATCCAAATTCTTGAGCTGCTAATGTTGGATCAACATAAACAGTTGCAAGATCACCTGCACGTCGAGAATATTCTTCATAACATATTGTTTTTCCCTGATGCTTTTTCTAATGTTTTAATCATTTCTAATACAGAATAACCTTTATCAGTACCAAGATTATAAATCTAAAAATTAAAATATTTAAATCATTATTACTGCTAACGACCCACAGCTACTTGTGCAATATATGATATAAGATTATTTGGTTTACCAATAGGATTTTCACCAATTAAACCTGTTCTATGAGCACCAACGGGATTAAAATAACGTAAAAGAATGATATTCCATTCCTGAAAGAACTAAGAACTATAATAAGAAAAAAAAAAGATCGTCTTAATTTTAAAATACGAACAGGTTAAGCAATTATTGTATCTTTAAGAATATGTTCACATATATATTTACTTTAACCATGTGAATTAGTAATAGCATCACCAATACATGGATGTTTTTCATCAAGTGGTAAATATTTTGGTGTACCATAGACAGTAGTTGATGATGAAAAAAGAAAATTTTTAACATTAAATTCTTCCATACACTTAATAATATACCAATAAATATTTTATTTAATAATTAGAAAATAATTTACCGTAAGTAAATTAAGTAAACAACCAATATTATTTTTATAGTATAAAATTGGTTTTCGTACTGATTCATCAACTGCTTTAGTGCAGCACAATAAATTATTGCATAAATTGAATATTTTTTAAAAATATTTCCTAAATTTTCAAGATCAAGACAGTGAAT